CGCGCGGCCGAGGCTGCGGGGCTGCGCGCGGCCGCAGGGCGGGCTGCAGAGCTGGCGGAAGCAGCGCTTGAAGTTCTCGTCCAGGAAGGCGTAGAGCAGCGGGTTGAGGCTGCTGTTGGCGTAGCCCAGCGCGATGCACAGGTGCAGCGCGGCCACCACCAGCGGGTCGCGGCGGTCGATGTCCACCAGCGTCCAGACGATGACGAAGATGTGGATGGGCGCCCAGCACACCACGAAGGCGCCCACCACCACCAGCACCATGCGCGTGATGCGCCGCAGGCTGCGGTCCTTCTCCCTCGAGCCCGAGAGCAGGCGCACGCTGCGCAGGCGCAGCAGCATGAGGCCGTAGCACACGGTGATGACCAGGATGGGCACCACGAAGGCGAAGAGGAACACGCAGATCTTCGTCACCGTGTCCCAGTACCAGCTGGGGTTGGGGAACTGCAGCGTGCACACCACTGCCCCGTCTGGATCAAGGAAATCAAAGACAGACAGGCGGGGTAAGAGGGCTTGGGGGGCCTGAGGGACCCCGCCTGCCTGCCCCCCCACCCTTCTCGGCTGGGTCAAGCCCCACTGCCTCCTCCTGGCCTTTGCGCAGGGTGTTTCCTCTACCTGGAATGTCTTCCTTCACTTCCGCGCGTGGTGAACTCTTACGCATCCTTCAAGACCCCAGCAGGATTGGCCCTAATATAAAACATCTTCCTATATTCTCTCCCAGTCCCTTTATAAGCCTCTAGTCCATGGGCAACAATAATGATGTAATTTAGCCCAAGCTCACTAAATGCCAGTTGTTGTAACTCAGAACAGCTCACACATTTCCAAAGCAGCTTCAGTGGGGACAATATTGCTAAACTGACACACAGAGAGTGTGAGTTAAGAGCAGGACTCTACTAACTGTGTGGTGTGTCCTTGGGCAAATTATTCAGAATTCAATAGCTTCCCTAAAGTGGGACTAATAACAGTACCTAAACCTCATAGGATTGTTGTAAGGATTACATGGGCCAAGGCATGTAAAGCACTTAGCACAGTGGGGTTCAAGCTCTTCGGGCACTCACAGGGCAGAGGGGCAGATACCTGTGGGAGTCCAAAGGTCAAGGCTAGGGCTGGGGAGGCAAATCTCAGCTTAATGGCAAAAACTCTCTGACTGCCAGGCTTGTCCAGAGATGAGAGGGGCACCCAGGATGGAATGAGCCCCCTGTTCTTACAGTATGTGGGCTTGGGCTGGATGAGCACCTTACGGGATGTTGTGAGATACAGATACAGGGCTGCAGCTGGAACCAGGAGACTCCCAAGGTCTTTTGGAATTCTGGAATTTGAGGAGTTACACAGTGGACTTGGAGCCTCAGAGTTGTGAGAAGGGGGCTTGGGATCCGTAGACAGAGTGAAGCCAGGACATCAGGGTGGCAGGATCCACAGGGATGACTGAGTCCCAGGACTTCATTGTACAGATGGCAGAACCAGGCCAGAGAGGAACAGTATTTGTCCAAGGTCACACAGCAAGTGGCATACAAGTGCCAATAGCTCACACTGGGAAAGTGGTGTGTAGGTGTGCGTGTGTGTGTGTCTGTGTGTGAGTGTGTGGATCGAGGAGGTCCATCTGGCTCAGCCCCCAGCAGGGCTGCAGTTAATGGCGCGTAAACTGAAGGCTGACAGTGAGGAATGGGGCCCAGCTGCTGAGTCAAGACCAATAGCTCAGAGACTTTATAAGGGCTCCACCCTTGTAAGAGTCAGTGATGGCCAAGAAACCTCCCACCAAGCCTGTTCCCCTCTTCCACCACAGCACTGATGATCTGCAAACCTTCACAGCAGGGTACAAAGGGAGCAACAGATACAGGGGCAGGAGCCTTGGGTTTTAGGCCAAATTCCACCAAATGTCTGGCTGTGTGACCCTAAGTAAACCATGGAGGTAGGAGTCCCTGCCTTGTCTATCTCATAGGCTTACTCATTCTAATAACTGCTATTTATTGGGCCTTGGGAATGAGCCAGGACTTGTCCTAAGTATTTTACACATATAACCTCATTTAATCTTCTCAACACCCCATGTGGTTCAGATAGGTTAGTGACCAGTGTCTTTGGCACCCTGCTGAACTACTTTTCCCACTTCTTTATATCAAGCTGGAGTCAAGTGACCAGCTATCACTAGGAAGAAATGCTGTCACTCATAACATTTAACAGTGGTTGTGCTTTCTCACCACTCCCCCTTCATATTTATCTGCTGGCCAGATGCCAGCAGTGGGAGTTTCCAAAACCATCATGTGGAGCCTGGGTCCCTGAGTGATTGTGTGGCATAAAGACCCTCCTCTTCTTGCTCACATTGAACTGTAATGAGTGAGAAATAAGCCTCTACTATGTTAAGCCACTGAGCAGCTACCCTGATTGATATAGGCTGTTGCTATACTAATAATTACCATTTTACTCTGAGGAAATGCACGTATCTGTCATTTTCTGAAGGCCAATCTCTAAGCATTGCTTTGGTCATTTGGGCCAATGATTTCAAATTGGGGTGGAAAGGAATTTGGGATGGGACTGCAGATCTTGTGGCCTCCACTGCTCACTGATTAGTGACACCCTCACCGCACTGAGCATCCACCTATCTCCTCAAAGGTCAGTCATCCACATATTTCTGGCCAGTGGCTACATGCTCATAGATCAGCCATCCATAATCCCATTGATAATTTCCTTTGGCCAGCAACCCATATGACCACTGACCGGTCACTCATCCTCACTACAGTCAACCATTCACATTCCTCATTGGCCAGCCATTCCCATTCCCATTCCCATTGGTTGACTATCCATACTCCCACTGGCCAGTCATCCACACTTTCCTTGATCAGTAATTCATACCTCCACCCTAGTAAGTGGCCTGTAAACCCAGAGAGGCCTGTGTGCTGTCTCCTGTGGTCACTCACCCCGGGGATGGGTCACAGCCATGATCATGATGGGTACACCAACACCCGAGGCCAGGACCCAGATGCAGATGTTGATCAGTTTGGCCTTGGCGGGTGTGCGGAAGTCCAGGGCCTTGACAGGGTGGCAGACAGCAATATAGCGGTCGACACTCATCATGGTGAGTGTGAAGATGCTGGTGAACATATTATAGTAGTCAATGGAGAGCACAGCCTTGCAGAGCAGCTCCCCAAAGGGCCATGTCTCCATCAGGTACTTGGCGCTCTGGAAGGGCAGCGTGCTGGTGGCCAAGGCATCTGCCAAGGCCAAGTTGAAGATGTAGATGTTGGTGGCTGTCTTCATCTTAGTGTACCTTAAAAGGGAGAGCATATATAACTGTTTCATTTCACAGATTTCAGTTTCACTTGAAACTCAGGGACTGGAACCCTGACCTATCTGATTCAGCATCACTCCTTTCCTCTCTAACAGATGAAAGAGCATCACTTTGGCTGGGGGTAACTTTGGCAGAAGGTATTTTAGGAAAAACCCTTACCTTTTAAAAATAAAGCTGGGCTCCAGAGGAAAACAGGTCTAGGTTCTAATTCTGCCTATACTATTTGTCAGCTGAGTGATTCTGGGCTAATAACTTGAACCCTCTAAGCTTTGGTGTCCACAACTATAAAAATTGGAGTGATACTTTTACCAACCTCCTAGGCTTGTTATGAAATTTAATGAGATGATGTAGCACTTAGCCCAAAGCCAAAAGCATGGTAATTGCTCAGTATATGATAGCTGTTATTACTCTTCATATCTAAAGAATGAAGCTGGGGCTAGACCAGAGTGACCTGACCCTCTGCCACTGACCTGGCCTTCTGGGCTGCATACACTGAAACAGTCCTAGTTCAGTGTGATCATCATAGAAACAGACAGGTACACTGAGGCAGGGGTAGGGACTGCTTTCATGTGCCTGGAGTGATCTGAGAAACCCAGAGAAGAATTGTATGAGCGACTCCACAAATTTCAGAGCAGAAGAGCCCTGAGAGGTTGAGGGGAAGTGATTGTATGAAAGTGTGGCCCAAGGACTTCCCTCAGAATCATTGGAAGAACCTGTAAGAAATGCAGATTCTTGGACCCCATCCCAGACCTTCTAGATCTTGATCTCTGAAAATCTTCTTTAACAAGAACCCACCCCCACCCCCAGCCAGTGATTCTTATGGACCCTAAAGTTTGAGAAACACTATGTAGCCTAAAAAGCCCTTATTGAGGAGAGATGGGGAAACTGAGCCAAGGTCACACAATGGCAGAGCCAAGTCAAGAATTTAGACCTCCTGACTCCCAGGAGAATGCTTTCTCTCCACTCTGCCCCACAGTGGAACCACACTTCTGCCTCTTCCCCTCTAGGCTGGAATCCCCTGGACAGATGAGTGCCCTCAAGGTGTTTTGAACGACTGAATGAACACTACCAGCTAAGGCTGTTCCTTCATGAAGTCACTGTTCTATTTGGTTTAAAAAAAAATATTGACTCACTCATCCTCCAGAGCCAGCATCTGTCCCACTCCCTCCCAAAATAGATGGCAGTTGCCCTGCAGCTGGAGAAGCAAAAAGTTTTCTCGAAGACAGCAGAATTGCAAGTCTTGGGAAGTCTGTCTTCAGTGGGGTGCGGGATCACAGCTGTGTGGGAGGCAGTCTCAACCCCACAGCTGACTCGTCTAATTTCGCTTCTTTTACGCAGAACAATTAGAGGCTGTTCTTTGCCTGCTATTTTGATTTATGAAGGATCCTTCAATTCCCAGAGGGGGCTGAGATGCTGGGAAGTGGGTGACGAAGCTGCTGTAGCTGATCCAGGCAGGGCTGAGAGGCCCAGCGCTGATGGCCAGCGGAGCGCCAGGGGCTCCTCTCCTCACAGGCCTCCCCACCCCACAGCTAACGGGCCGCACGCCCTGTGGGGTTGGCCTCCTCCGACAAATCATGCTGCTCTCTTGCTCTCAAGGCCCCGAAGTTCTCCCCACATTCCACAAACTGGCCCAGGCCACCTCTCGGGCCTCAGCTCCCAGAACCTTCCCCGTGATGGGTGTCCCCCACCCCCTGGCCTCTTCCCTGTTCTTTGGACACATCGAGCCCACGGCCCCCTCAGGGCCTCTGGACTACTCTCTTCCCGGAAACCTCGACCCCCCCAATTTTGCATGGCTTGCTCCTTCACTTAACTGAGGACTCGATTCGAATGTCATCTCAGAGAGGCTGCCCTGACCTCCCTTTCTAAAATACTCTCTCCCCGCCGTCACTCTCTATCTCCTAACACTGCTTCATTTTTCTTTATAGCGCAAACTACTGCCTGACTTAACGTTTATCTTCTTTTCTGTCCATTCGCCTCTCTCGCCGTTTAAACTCCCTAAAGACAGGGCACTTTGTCTTTTGTTCCCTGCTGTATCATCGGCCCTACCAACAGTGCCTGGCAAGTAGCAAGCTTTCAATAGACACTTGTTGTCTAGTTCGGGCCTCATCAGCTCTCACGGGGACCACCACAGCAGCCTCTCCACCCCACAACTCATCATCCCCATAGGTCAGGGTGCTCACGATCAAAGGCAGGTTTTGCTCAGGAAACTCTTCTGCTTACAACCCTTCTGTGGCTCCCCACTGCCACCTGGATAAAATCCAACCTCCTCAAATGGACATTCCATCTGCGTGGGCTCCTTTCCCACGTCCAGCCACATCTGTAGTTCCACAGACATTCGATCTTGCATACCCTTCCTCCTAAGAGACAGCCACTGTAATGGTTTGGTGGGAATCCTTCCAAACCACATATATGCATAAGGCTTTTTATAAAATTGTATTTCTGCCAATGTAATACAATTACATTGTATAAAAAGTTACATGTTACTATCGTGAAAATAGGTGCCCCTCTGCCTGACCCTGCCCCATTCCTCTGTTCTGCTCTGCAGAGGCCACCACTTTCACATTTTAGTTCTTCTTATGGTGATTATCTCCATAATTCTAAACAATATGCTTAAATGGCTATTTCTTGATGCAGCAACTTTAGATGGTCATTGCTGAAGTTTGCATTTGCTTAAGCCAGGCTATGCAGCGATAATCCCCAAATCTCGGAGGTTTAACACAATAAAGGTTTCTTTCTCACGCTTGCAGAGTCCATTCAGTGCCACCAGGACTATATGCCACAAGGTAATTCCAGCCTGCTGCAGCCTTGTGGCTCTGCCTGAGGCCTCCTTGCTCACCATGAGGGAAGGAGAAGAGACAGCTATAGGGTTGTCTAAGCTCTGGTCTAGCCACAGCATAGCACTTCCACTAACACTGACTAGAACTACTCCTGTGGCCCTAGCCAACCGCAAGGGGCTGAGGAGTACAGTCTTTTACGTGCCTAGAAGCAGGGAAACCATATATTAGTGAGCGTTAGTAAATTCCCCCACCACTCCCTGTTATGGTGGATGATTAACTCTCTTACACTACCTAACTCCACCTCCCTGTCCATTCTCCCAATATAGTTTTACCACAATTTTTAAATTTTAAGCTAAATTGATATTCAAGGTTTCTACCTTTTTTTTTTAAGGTTTACATTCTTATGATATTGTCCACTGCTGAGCCAAATGGCATGCTATAATTACATTTATTTTCTACAGATTTTTGTTTTTCCTGGAATTAATAATTGCCTCCTTTTTTAAATTTGCTTAGTTCTGTGTATATATTGCTAAATCTCCTCAAACACTCCCGCGGACCTGTAAAATGCCTTTCCCATGCAGTCACATAATATACCAGTTCCTTTTGTGTTCCTAGTGATCCATCTCCTGGAGCCGCCCTCCTCTCCTTTCAATCTGTGAGTGGTTTCTTTCCAGGCCAGCTGCACGCCTATCCTGCTGTGTTAGAGCACCTGTTTCCTGGTTTGCAAGTCTTTTTTTATCTTGGTTTATGCCCTCATTTTGGTGGAGCACATCCTTTAGTCATTTCCTAAGAAAGGACACTTCATAGAAGTAAAATTTTTACACTCTTGCATGTCTGAAAATGTCTTTCTTCTATCCTTATTTATGACTTCTTTGACAGTATAAGGAATAGTAGGTTGGAGATCATTTTCCATCAGAATTTTGAAGGCCTGGCTCCTTCATCTTCTAACTTCCATGTTGCCACCGAGGTATCTGAACCATTCTGATTCCTAGTGATTTATATGTAAGCTGTCCTCCCCTACCCTGAAACTTTTAGGATTGTCTCTTTATCCCTAGTATTCTGACATTTGTGATGATGTACCTTCGGGCGGTTCTTTTTCATTTCGCTGGGTGCTCTCGGTCTGGAGATTCATGTCCTGCAGTATGAAATGTACTCATATCGTTTACTAGGTCGGTCATCCCCTCTCTCTCTGCTTTTTCTGGAATCCCTGAACAATCGTTAGTCAGACTTCGGGCCTCCTGGATGGATCTCTAATTTTTTTATCTTCATCTCTGTCTTTTTGGTACATCCTCTGGGAAATTTCCTTTTCATTTTCCCTCAACTTTTATATTGACTTTTTTTAAGTTATAGCTCTTGTGTTTTATTTTCTCAGTGCCTTTTCTTCTTACAACATCTTATTTCATGGATACAATATCTTCTCTTATCTCTCTAAGGGTATAATAGTTTTTGTTTTTTGTATTTTCTTCTGCTCTCTGCATTGTCTTTTTGCTTCAGACCTTTTTTGTTTATTTGCCTGTATTGGCCTTTCTCTTCTACCCTGGAGACTTCCTTCAAATATCTGGTGATATGTGACTAACGGTGCATCTTTCAGTGAAGCGCTAAATAACTAATTGACAGGTGTGGGGGGGGGGCTGTAGGGGGACTGAGCAAAGATCTGGCTTTACACTGGGGGACAGCTAAATATCAATGTCTGAAATTCTCTTCTCTAGGGCTTTCAGAAAAGAATCCTCCTATCTCCTGCCTGGCAACACACGTCTGGCTGTCAAGATTCCGGTAGCAGAGAGACAGAAGGTATCTGGGGACCCTTCCATTTTCCATTCAGTATCTCACTCTGACCCTTTCTGTGTCTGCTGGCCCTGAGTTCAGAGTTTCTCCAGGTTAACTTCTCTAGGGAAAAAACCTTGACCTCCTGCAGAGTAGGGGTAGTCACCTGGTTTTGCAGGGTCCAAGAGCGAGGGTCTCACTGCTCCCTCTATAGATAATCAATCCCCTGCGAGCTTGGCGAGCTGCAGGAATAATCAGAAATCGAGTGCGACTAAAGGGTAGTGAGCCAGAGCGGAAAAAACAGGAGAGGCAGCAGAAGTCAGCAGGGTCAAATCACCCGGAGCCTTCAGGCCATAACAAGAAGTTTGGATTTTATTCTGAGTGCAAGGGGAAATCACTGGAGATTTTAAGCAGAGAAGTGATATGGTCTGATTTATG